CTGCCTCTGCCTCCGGAGTGCTGGTATTAAAGGTGTGTACCACCACCTTCCCACTCATTTCATAATTTTATATACATTTTTGTTTTCTGAGACAACGAGTTTCTCTGTGTAATCCTGGCTGTCCTGGAACTCACTATGTAGACCAGGCTGACCTCAAATTCAGAGATCCGTCTACTTCTCCCTCAGAGTACTGGGATCAAAGGCGTTCAGCAACAACCGCAATGTTCATTTTTTTTAATTTTATTTTTTGGTTTTCCAAGACAGGTTTGTATGTGTTTGTATGTGTAACCTTGTAGCTTTTCTAAAAAACAAAAAACAGGGTCTCACTATGTAGTTCTGACTAGCATTGAATTCATAGTGTATTATCAGGTTGGCCTTTCCTTCAGAAGTGCTAGAATTAAAGTCATGGACCACCACACCTGGCCTGGCCTTATGAGTAAGCTTCTAATACTTGAGGGGATGCATGCTGTTCCAACTAGCTGATTTGTTCACTTGGGCCTAAAATAAAAACTTTATCCACGAGCTATGACTGAACTGGTAAGTGCACGGTGGGGTCATTCCTAAGGCCTCCTGCACACAAGTATTTGGGTTTTAATTTGATACTGGAGATTGAATTCAGAGCCTCACACATATGAGGCAAGTACTCTACCAACTGTGACCCCACACCCTCCTTTTTCTTTTGGGAGGATATATGCGGGTCCAGCTGGTCTCAAATTTGGAATTAATCTTGCCTTTTCCTCCTAGCGCTGGGATCACAGGTATGTGTTACAGTGACTGGGATCAACTTCTAGATTTTTCTTTTCAAGCTCCACTTGCTTCAGAGCATTTCTCTTAAATCTCTGTTGCTCAATTCCTGCTCTCCACATCTTTCTCAAGTCATCAAAGCTTTCCTGGTTCTTCCCTGGCTCTCATACTCACCCGATCACGGCCGCTCTTAGCCAGGGAGACATTGGCGACAGGGAAAGAGCAGAGAGAAGCAGTGGAGGAGTCACAGTCTGTCCTAGAGGAGAAGGGATGAGTGAGACTTTGTGAAGTTGCACAGTCTGCTTTGCCTGCCTGCCTGCCCACACCTGGACTCTAGATCTCCCTCCTGTCCCCAGCCATATTCTCCATTACAGAGAAATGGAGAACAAATGTGGCCAAGAAACTCAAGATATCAAAATAAAGCTTCCATTCTCTTCCCACTATTTCAGTTTATGTCCTTATTAGAACAAAACCTATAGGCAGGAACCAAAGGACACTCGGTGTTTCTACAGGCTCCATTAACAAGAGACTCTGATTCAGCAGTTCTGGTCTGGGGCCTAATTTGAAAAAAAAAACAAAACATTTTTTTTTTCTTCAAAAGGATCCATGGATACATCTTTTAAGATAAATTATAGGCAAAATTGCACTTGGTATATGGGTACACAGGTCATACCTAGTATGTCCTATATGTACTGTTAGTATTCAGGCATTGGTACTGGCTTGTCCTTGGGGTTCTGACAGGATATGTTGTCAGCTGCAGTCACTGTGTTCCCTTTTAAAAAGCCCCTGCACACCTCCCATCCTTCTTTCTTTGATCTTCTGTCCCCCTCTCCTCTATCCTGCTGCTCCTGTCTCCAGAGGCTGTTCTCCCCCCATCCCTTTCCCCCTTCTATGATCCCTTTCACTAATTAAAAAAAAAAAAAAAAAAAAACCCTCTGTTTGAACCCTATTGCATGGTGTGTTTCTCGAGAGTGCTGCTTTTCTTAAATTACATGTATAAGAATCGTGTTTCCTAAATGTTTAAGCACATGAGTAGGAAGTAGGAACAGGGAAATAAAGATTTTAAATTGGTGACACTAAAACTGTTTTCTGTATTGCTGAGTGCCCAGTCTTGTAGCCACTGTTGGGCTCACAGAGAACTTGGCAGCATGAGTAAAATGGGAATGAACTACAAGGCTATGCGTGAAGTAGGACTCTAGGAGGCAGTTATCTTGTTACTGTGCAGACCATCGGTGATACGTGGCAGTAAACTAAAAGGCAAAGGAGGTATTTCCCAATACCTCTTGTGCTAAAAAGCCAGGGTAATTCTTAGATGCCCAAGGGGCTGAGTTGGCTAGAAATTCTACAGTGGCTTAAAAGGTTTTATGCAACCTACACAGAGCAGACTTTAATTACTAGAGTATAAAAGTGAACTTTCTTTTCCTAGTCTTTTCTTTTTTTTAAACTCTTAAGACAAGGTCTCAACCTGTAGCCCAGGCTGGCGTGGAACTCATGATAATCTTCCCAATTCATCGTCCCAGGGGAGTGCTAGAATTACAGATGTGACCAGGTCTTTTTCTTGGTTTCTAAACAGTATTTCACATCACAGGTAGATCTAGAACCCTATGGCCCTGCCAGCCCAGATCTGCTCCAGCCTTGGCTTGTGAGGTGAGAAGTCCTGTTAGGACACTGGGGTAAGATTTCATCCTCTATCAATAAAGGGATTTGACAGAGGATGCTCCAGAGTCCTTTGAGTAATTTTCAACTTCAATGAAGCCGTGTTCTCACCTGTAGTAGAAATGCACAGGGCTGAGGTGGCTGACCGTCGGCATGTAGGAGTAGTAGAAAGAGCCATAGAGGAACACAGACACCCAAAGCAGTAGGAGGAGGGTGCAGAAGAGCACCCCGAACTGCAGCAGCAGCCTGCGGGCACGGCCTGCCAACACATGGCCCACTTCCTGGGCCCACAGTAAGGCAGGTACTGGTGGGTCATTGACCATGATGGGGACAGCAGAGGATCTAGCCCCAGCTTCAGGCTTTGAATTCCTGGCTGGTCTTCCACAGGGACGATACCCTTGGCCATGGGATAGGGCAGCTGGAGATTCCTGGAGAAAGAGGAGGGGAAAAAAAAGTTCTTTTGGGCTGGAGAGATGGCTCAGAGGTTAAGAGCACTGACTGTGTTTCCAAAGGTCCTGAGTTGAATTCCCAGCAACCACATGGTGGCTCACAACCATCTGTAATGAGAACAGGTGCCTTCTTCCAGCCTACAGGCAGAACACTGTATGCATAATTAATAAATTAAAAAAAGAGTTCTTTTTCCCCAGGGGAAAAAAAAAAGACAACTCATTAAACTGGTTTTAAGGAACTGGAGATAGGACAAAGCAAAGTCATTGTTTTCCATGCATTTCTCTTCCAATTACTCCTTCACCTTCCTCCACTGAGTTTCCTTCCAGCCATTGTCAGTGGAACCCTTCCTTCAGTCCCCGGAGCCCGGGAAAAACCTCCTTGATACAGTCATAGCATTACTCTTATATAGAACGAGAACCTTAAAACTCTCCAAGCACTGGTGACATGAATCCTCAATACTAGGCATTGCAAGGTAAGTAAGTGACTTGCCTAAGGGCGAACAGCCTCCCGAATTTCTCCCCTTCACCTGGACCTGAGCTCGCTCACCGAACATGTGATTCCTACCCCGCACAGCGCCTTGCGGCCCACCTGCGGAGCGACACTGAGAGGGCGGCCACTGCTGTGGGATCGCGGAGGCCACCCCAGCGAGGCCGACTCACCAGCCTCAGGCTGCCCAAGCAACCTAGAGAAGGGAGTTCCGGCTGCCGAGAAAGCCCCGCCCCTTCTGTCAGTCGCCAGTTAAGTGCAGGGGAAGGGCTCGTGCATGGGCGGGTTCCTGGCGCAGGGGCAGGGCCTGTGGGAAGCCTTGCTCTTTTTTGTGCTGTCCCTGCCAGAAGAACATTACACTCCAGTTCAACGACCAAAGGGACAACGCGCTCCCCATCCAGACCCCACTATACTCCAGGGAGCAGGCTGAGACTCAGCAGTGTCCCTTTCGAGGCCTTTTCACCCCAGAACAGGATCCGGTGAAGGCGGGGTGGGTGGAGTGGAGGTGGTGAAATGGGTGATGGGTGCTGTCTTTATTCTAGAGCTTCTTGGGCCTGTAGGCGTCCAAGGGGAGTGAAGGGGAAGGGACTCATTCTCCCTGAGAAAGGACCTTGCACCCTGCCAGAGCCTGAATCTTGTGTGCTGTGCAGATGGCTTGCTGTCTGCGAGCTAGTCAAGCGTAGGGGCATTTCAGCTCCTTTCAGTCTCCAGTTTTTATGCTGCATGATCGACCTTCTGTGACCCATGTGACGAAGTCAGCCTCAGAATCTTCTGGACAATATCCTCTAGGAGGCAAAGCCAGTGCGCATCTTTTTGAATAGTGGCAGACTACTCAAATTACATGAAAAATTTCGACTCAATTCCCTATCTCCCCAATTCCACTGCTTGTCACCCTACTCCCCACTCCAAGAATCCCACCTGCGTTCATAATATTTGCACTAGTTCCGGTCCCTCCCTTACCTCCTCTTTATCTGATCCTGTTTTGATCTGGTCTCTGCATGTCTGTTTTCCCCCAGCTTCTCTTCTTTGCTGTATCATTTCTTTAGATATCTTCCTGATGGTTACCTTTGTTGCCCCTGGATCTCCCCTCTCAAGTCACTTGTGGCTGGGAAGTGGTGATCTAGAAACTGATCACCTGTAGAGCGTCACATTTTCCTGGGTCTGCAGAATGAAGGGAGGGTCACTGTGAAAGAAATGAGGAGGGTTCAGGTGCTGAGTGCTGTGTCAGGGTTGGGGGGGGGCAGGCAGCAGCCCAGCTGATGTCAGAATTTCAAATGAGCAGGGTCTCTCACATTAGGTCCAGACTCTACTGCAGGGGCTGTCACAGGCCTAGACCACCCCACTTAAGAGGGGAGTCTGCTTCCTTCCGCCTCGGGTCCTTTGGGGAGGGCTCTAGTTCAGACTAAGGACTTCTACAATGAGCAGGGGCAGGTAGTGAGATAGTAACAGTGGGGTGTGCACAGGGTATGCAGAGAGCAGCCAGACCTCCCCCACTGGCCAGGCAGTTGGTATGCTCCAGAATCTGAGCAGCTCCTTCTAGCATCCTTCATCCTTCAGGTACCAGCCATCTGGGCAGTGCTTGAGCTGCAGTAACAGACCACTCTTCCAAGGACCTCCAGTCTGCGCATCCCCAGTGACCTTCTCTGCATTAGCCGTCATTGCGACAGATATTTTTAGCTGCAGGTCTCTGCAGGGTGGGGCACTTATTTGAGGCAGGTTTGGTGCCCCTTCCCCACTGACCCTACATTCCAGGCTGCTGCCGCTGCCTGTCACTTCAGGTGAGTAGAGAGCAGCCTGTTTCTCACTAGCTTAGGGGGACAGGTGGCTGATTTGATTTCATCAGGGTGGGGTTCGTGCTGACTGAGGCTTTCATGGCTGGGAACATACTTGGCCCAAAGACTGGGAATCCTGAAATCATTTGTATGGTTTGGTGTGGGACCCAGGGATTTGGAGAGATTTTCATCTCTCCTCCATTCTCCCCACGGAGGAGACATGGGATGGCCACTGGAGAGTGCAGATAACAGATAACATGGGAACAAAATACTGGGCACAGCCCCAGCTGTGTGGTTGTTGAAGAGCTGAGTGCTTCAGCAGAGAGTGTGGAGATGTCTGTCTTTTCTCCAGGATGAAAGGGGAGACCCCTGTGAACAGCACTATGAGTATTGGCCAAGCTCGCAAGATGGTGGAACAGCTCAAGATTGAGGCCAGCTTGTGCCGGATAAAGGTGGGTGAGACCCTGGTTCTCATTAGCTCTCCAGGCATCCTCAGCTGTAGGGTTTCAAACCCCTGAAAAAAAGACGCTTTTCTTGCTACCCTGAGGTCAGAGGAGGAAACTGGGCACTGTCAGCAAAGCTGTTCCCGAGGACTGTGGGGATAGGGGAAAGAACTGTCTCAAAGGGCACTAGAAATTAAAAGACAGCCTATTTGGCAAAGAGAGCTGTAGTCCCTTCCAGGGACTGTGGCTAATGTTTTCCCCTCCTGGCTGTGCCCCAGGTGTCCAAGGCAGCAGCAGACCTGATGACTTACTGTGACGCCCACGCTTGTGAGGATCCCCTCATCACTCCTGTGCCCACTTCGGAAAACCCCTTCCGGGAGAAGAAGTTCTTCTGTGCCCTCCTCTGAAGAGTTCTGTTTCTCCTCTGAACCTACCTCCCCCTCGGAGACCCGCCCTTAGATAGGAAATTGCAGCAGCCAGTTTCTACCGTACCTGTCATGAGATTAGCTCAAGCACAAGCCCTCCTTAACCATGTCTACCCCATCTCCTCACCCTTTGAGGCAAGCACCTTTTACTCCATCCAGAGGGACCCCACTAACGTGCCAGAATCCTGCCTGATTCCTTCTGTGATCCGTTCAGGCAATGGAGAGGGGGATGCCCGGGTGCTTGTTCTCAGTCTCACCTGGAGCTATTGGAAAGGTAAAGGCATTTGAAGAATAAAGTCATCCAGAGCCTCAGTGGACGGCGCCTGTGTTAGCGTTCTTGGGAAAGAGGATCCTTAGTCGATACACTTGCCATATCCAGGGAACAGGGCCAGTCCAGCCGGTTAGACATTGTTAGGGCTGGAGATCGCGGGGTACGAGGCGCGCGAGCGCCCCCAGTGGGAGGTTGTTAAAGCGAACGCTCAGAAGCTGTGAGCACTCCCACAAGCACGCAACGAAAGCAGCGACAACTATGCAGACCCAAGGGTGGGCTTCCGCGGGCACATAGACAGCAGCCCCGGGTGGAGGTCCCCTGAGGAGCGGAGGGGCGACACTAGGCGACTCAGCGCACAGGACGGCAGCGCCCGCAGCCGCTGGCCAAGATGGCGGCTGCCTGTGCGTACCCGCACGGCGGCGAGCGTCAAGGTGCCGTACGGTACTGCTCTTAAAATGGCGGGCCCCAGTGTTCCCACTGTGGAAAGGTCCCTTACGTGATCCCCGGTCATAAAATGGCTGCCCCTACCCTCTTGAAGTCAGAATCTGGAACTCGATATCCTGTGGAGCCAAGCACCGGGGGCCCTAAAGAATAGGTCATGGGTGACCTAGTTCACTAGGATTTGGGCCCAAAAGACACATTGAGGATTTTGCAAAAGAATCTTGCTTTTTACATCTGTCCAAGTAGAGATTTCATTTAGGGATTATTTGTATTAATACAAATATTTGACACAGTCCATCTTGAAGCATAGTTCCTTGATCTCTCTGGGAGCTAAATAAGCAATGAATTTCAGTTTTTATTTTCTTTTTCTGGTTGAGACAGGGTTTTTGTTGTGTAGCTCTGTGTACCAACCAGGCTGGCTTCAAACTCAAGAGATCTGTCTTGCCTCTCCCACCGAGTGGGAACTGCTACCCGGCTCAGTTTTCTTGACTTGAAGCTTCTTACTTTCTCCTAAAAATGACTAAAGAATATCTGTTAATAAAGAGTACATGCCAGGTGGTGATGGTGGCACACACCTTTAATCCCAGCATTTGAGGGCAAAAGCTGTCAGGTCTATGTTCTAGGTCAGCCTGGTCTATAAAAGTGAATTCCAGAACAGCCAGAGCTGTCACACAGAGAAACCCTGTCTCGAAGAACCAAAACCAACACCAAAATAGAAAGAGTAGAGCCTAGTGTGGTGGTGTGCACCTTTATCCTGGCTAGGGAGCACACTTATCTCCTGAGCACCTGAGCAGGTTTAGAAAACCCAGAGTATCTGCTGGAAGCCTTTTTGTTTAACCAGCGAACCTGGACCACCATTAACAGTTCCATTTGTCTTTATTCTCGGATCAAGATCTCCGAACTCCAGTACAAATCTTTCTGGGAGGAAAGTCTAATTAGTCCAGTGCACGTATATAACTGGGCTGCCCAGAATGACCTGTATGTTTTCAAGACAGTCAGTCCATCACTCCCAAATCCCATCTTCCCTAAATTTTGTCCTTTCCCAAGATGGCAGGGGAGAGGAATAAAGACACCAAAGTGAGTATGGATAGTGACAGGCAGACTCCATGGTGTCACAACCAAAAGGCTGAACAGGAAAATGTGACCGACTGCAGGCCCAATGACCTGAGTTCATCCCTTGATCCAACAAAGTGGTGGGAAAGACCTCCAGGTACGGACAAGTTTGATTTCAGTATTTCGGGACTTTATGTCTTGTTACTTGTGGTAACTCCAGGAAGGATCCTTGTTAAAATACCTGCATGTTCACAATGCCTAGTATGATAGGTTAATACATAACAAATGGTTTTCTATTTGTATATGCTTAAATTGTACACAGGGTTTACAGACTAAAAACCCCTTTCTTACTGTATCAGTGTTGGGCAAATATCAGGGTAATAAGAGAATCTAATCAGGTAAGATGTGACAAAAAGCCAAAGGTGCTCAAGATGTAACCCTGATAAGATAACTGGCACCCTTCCTTACCCCCTAAAACCCTGCTTACTTTCCTACTCAATTTGATTTGTTCAAATCATGGGTTCAAATGTGGTTGAATAGAAAACAGGGCTATCAACCCTATCTACAGAAAAGGTGTGAGCTATACCCATTAAAAATAATTGGGATTAAGGCTAAAAGAGATGATGGTTCAGTGGTTACGAGCAGCTGTCCTTACAGAGAACCCAGGTTTAGTTCTCAGCACCCACATGGTGGCTTAAAATTAACCTTAACTCTAGTTCAAGAGCATTCAACACTGTCTTGTTCTGCATGTACCAGGCACACACATGAAATATACACATATGTGCAGGCAAAACATGCATAAACATCACTCTTTCAAAAAAAAAAAAAAAAAAAAAAAAAAAGGCTGAGGGGTGGACCAGTATTGAATTTTTTTGAGATAGGGTCTTTACTCATAATCTTCCTGTCTCCAACTCCCAAGTATCAGGATCACACATGCACACTACCACCCCGGCTCTTCTTGGTTTTTTTGAAAGCATATTGCTCTGTAGCCCAGGATGAGCTGGTATATACTAGCTTTGAATGTACAGCAATCCTCCTGTCTTGGACTATCTAGTCTTAGGATAAAAGACAAGTGCTATCATGCCCAGCTGTGTACTAATTCTAATTAATCTCAGTGCTCTAGAGGCAGAGACGGGGGATCTCAGTAAGTTCCAGGGCAACCTGGTCTACAAAGTGAATTCCAGGATTAACAAGAGTTGTTTAAACAAACAAGCAAAAAAACATGAAGGGCCTGGTGAGGTGGCTAAGAATTTTATGTAAGTTTGGCAATCTGAGTTTGATCCTTTGAATCTACATAAAGGGAGAATAAAGACTTCACAAAGTTGTCCTCTGACCTTGTGTGAACCCCTCCCCATCATCAATTCCCTGTGCACACACCAATATTTAAAATGGGTAAAGCTGGGTGTGGTGACAAACACGTATAAATGAAGCATTTTGGGGTTTAAGTCATGATGATCTAGAGTTCCAGTCCAGCCTGGGCTACAATGAGATTCGGTCTCAAAATCAACATTTGAAAAAATACATTATTAAACACCTCCAAGATCACTCAAGTCAGTGCAGCCACAGGAGATAGGAAAATTCAATTCAAATGGTTATTTATTCTAAAACTGGAACTACTGTGCCTACATTTGTTGCCAGGATGGTGTAATGAGAACAGGTAATAAGAGTTACAGATGTAAACAATGACACAGTCACATTTTTTTTTTTTTTTTTTTAAATGGTAAAACCCTTTTTTTTTTCTTTTTTTACTGGCCACTTCCAAGAATGCTTTACAGGTTGTGCAAAAACATTTACAGGCTCCATGTGGTATTTGTTTTTCTAACAAGCTTTTCCATCTATAACTTCAACAGACATCTGATAAAACACTAAACAAGTCTTCTAAGAAAAACAAAGCGGGGGATCCCTCCTGTTACCACAATCCCTACCAACCATACCATTTCATAATAAAAACACAAGACAGAAACAAAATGTAGACATCCACTTTGATGCAAGAGAACCCCTGGACAGATCCAACAAGGATGTGGCAGTTTTACTCTCCATTCAACTAAAAAAACAGCTTTTTTTTTAAAAAAAAAAAAGACTTTTCTATTGTCAAATCAATAGCAAGTATACTCTCTAATCCACTGCCCCAAACTTCATTGTTAAGTGTATGCCTGTCTGTGGGCCTTCCCATCCACAATCCGAGTCACAGACTACTCTAAAGTGTTATTCGTTGGAGGACTGAACATCTGAAATCTAAGTTTTCTATTATAACATAATCTTGTCCTAAGGGGATTTCTTTGGGCTCCAGTTTTTATCTTTTGGTGTTGCCATTATAAACAAAGCTTTCCCAAATTCCATTAATAATGCCAGTGAGTTACAAAAGATACATGCCAAAGGTAAAACCATTTTAGGAAGATGTTTAGAATTCTGTATGTATAATTCACTTTGTTTTTATATATGCTAAAAGAACTGAAATAAAAAGCATTAAAAAGCAAAAACAAAAGAAAACATACATGCAATCATTCATTCCACCCACTGCCACACACATCCATTTGTGGCACCATGAGGAACAGGTACCATGGAAAAGACAATATGAACAAGCTATCTGCTTCCGGGCCCTGCTACAGCCTTTGGAAAGGGCGAGTCCTAACAGACCAGAGTCAGAATGAGGGTCTCAACACCCGGAGAAGCACTGCACAGCAAGGACATCAGAACAGGGAAGATCCAAATCTTAGCACAAGTTTAAACAAGAGAAGGGACTGCTCAGGTGAGGAAGTGGAAGTGAATATGTTCTAATAGCACAGCCCAGAGGTTTTCTCACCAGAAAGTGCTGTAGATGCTGTTGCTGACTAAGTTTTAGCTAAGCAAGATAATGATTTAAACTGAAGCTCAATATTAAAGCATTGCCATTTCCTGCCCACATTCTTGAACCCAGCAACCTGTACTTGTTCTGTCAAGAACTGGGAGGGTGTCAGTAAAGTTACAAACTAAATGATCTCAAATGAAGTCTCTTCATGAGAGGCCTCTTTGGGACTCACAAAGAAGCACCCCAGAAGGAATCCTGTTTCAAAAAGTTGGGAAAAGGTGCTCCCCTGCATGCACCCACACACACATTCACAGTCTTCCCAAGTTTCTGCAGCCCCACTGAGCTGCCTCCCCCCCCCCCACTCAACTCTCTACTTGTGTATCAAAACAAAAACAAAAAGTCAGCAGCAGGGCAGAGTCCCCACACTGTATAAAATAAGTAGCTATTCTCAGCACCTGGGCCTGACAGCCTACACCACAGGATTTACCTATATACATATCCTGACACAGTGAACATTGTCTTGCTGCGTTTCTGTGAGCTGAAACCCTGAGAATCATTCTTTCCCTCACAGTTAAGAGGCAGGCAATCTTAGTAAATGATTCTAGAGATCTCTTGTCTCTATCAACTCAGAATACCAAGACTAGGGCCTGGCAAATCGCCATCTTTAGACTGAGGGCTGTGTTCCCATTCTCCTCCAGACTTTATGGGAATTCATTGAGTACAACATGGATGAGGACAAACTATTCTGATATGCAGTTACCCAACAGTCCCCATGGCCTGGGAATCCTATATAATAGAACCACCCAACTAGCAGTCTCTGTGCCTTAGGCAGACAACACAAAGGCACAACAAAGTGGATAATGGGACATCTGGGCCTCCCAGACTAATAGACCAGATATCCCAAGAGGGGAAAGGTTGGTAAAGAAAATAGAAACGGTAAGTTGGTACAAGTGATTGATAAGAGCCAATCGTTTATTTTTACTGCCCTGGTCACAGGTGTTCCCTGTCCCAACTCCTACCACCTCTGTTCCTACTCCTGCCTACTACGCAGAGTTCCCCCATGGTGTCCTCTTCTCTCCACAATGCTCTCCCTTCCTGGGCTACCGTTCCAGTTGTCTTAGAATGCTGGAGGGAGTCATTTTTCGTTCTTTTCCTATCCAGCTGCAGGGTACAGAACAGGCAGCCCTAAGTGCTGCTTTCTGTGCAAATGTGTTTTTTTTTTTTTTTTTTGATTACAAATAACCTAACTAGGTTTGAAATGTTTTATAGAATAAGACAATATTCTTTTCCACAAACTTTAAAAAAAAATGTACAGTTTTGTTGTTTCCACTCCCCCTCCCCCACCCCTGCTTGCACACCCTCCCCCCAACCACCCCTCCCCAGCAGCTCAGCCCCACCCCGACAGCCCGTTTTCCTTGGTTGTGTTTTGGGGGGTGCCTGGCACCCCCAGAGACTCAGCTTCATGGCTGACAGGTGAAAACAGCAGGGGCTTCACCGATACCCTTGGTAACCGTAGTAGTTCCTGTAGTATCGGTCTCTGTCCTGTTGGTGGTGGTAGTAGTAATTCTGCCACTAGAAAAGAGGGAAACCCATCACTTAGAGCCAGAGCAGGCTGAGGATGAAGAGGCAAGACACTCATCCAGCTGGTCCTGCCCCCTTCACCCTCAATCTACCCCAAGATAATACTCACATCCCGGTTGTATTGTCTGTAATAGTCTCTGTATCTGTTGTACTCATAATCTCGTCCATAGAATCGGTCATAGTCACCCCTGTATCGATCATAGAAATTACGGTAGCCCTGAGGAAGGAGAGAAAGGAGTGGTGGTGATATATGGGTCTCTAGAAGCACAACCCAGTTTCCCATTACTGAGTAAGACATGTTTCATCTTGATACTGTAAGCAGGATAAACTTTTTTCCCCAGGTTAAATTCTTCCAGATGAACATATATTAAGTGGGCAAAACCCTAAAGCCCTAAGAAAAGAGCCCAGACCCCTCTGCTCCCCAAGTAAATAGGAATGGCTTCACAGCCTAGAGGGAGGAGCAGAAGGAGAGCTGCACTCACCCCTCTGTTTCCAGACTGCCCCCAGTACTGCTGCCCGTAGGCCCGGTTGTCGTAGCCTCGGCGCTGCCCGCCCACTGGAAGAGAAATGGAGAGGGCGCTCAGACAGCTGGCATGGGGTCCTGGCTCCACATCTGAGTGGAAATCAAAAAGTTGGAGCCAAAGGCAATTCTATGGGAGGAGGAGGCTTGCTCTGGCCAGGCTCGCACAATGTTAAGTAAAGCACCAGCCAAGATCTTTTATTAAGAGTCTGAGAGGGGAGGGCAGAAGAATAGACACAAGATAACAAAGCCACCCTGCTTGTGAAGCTCCCCAACCCTGCAAAACATTTTAGATGACAAAAGGATACTTGGCAGAATTAGAAACATGAATAAAAACTGCCATTCACAGGATTCTCAGGCCAGAAAGGGATGATCTGAGGTGTCATGTAGCCTATACCCTTCCCTTAATGTGCACAAAGAAAACAAAATCTACACAATACTTAAAGGCTAGGAATTGTTATTATTCCTGTGTCTAACCACCTGTTGATTTACAGTTGTACACACATAAACACACACTTTTTAAAAGAGCAATAAATACATACTGGGGATTTAGCTGGTAAACTAGACATTCAGAGGAAAAATGAATTCCACTAATAGCTAACTTGCTTTGCAATGCTCTAAAATGACAGAAGAATGCATTCACTCTTGTCTGTGCAATTGGGTTGATTTGTTAAAGCACCAAGAAATCTTATGGGGACAATCAGCTTTCACTGCACATATCCTAAGCCTGCAGTGAAGTAGGGAATCCACTTGCTCACATGGAAGCTACACATATAATGAGGCACAAGACTGTTTCACAGAAATGTATTTTTGCCCCACAGTAAGTCTCTTCTGGCTGAAGGATCATGGGGAAAATGTAAGAAGCAGGGGGTAAAGGACACAGGAAGAAATAAAGCTTCATTAGGAAAGCTGCTCATTGTGGGCAGCCAGGTCTCTAGGACTTACCATAGCCCTGGCCTCGGCTCCGGTTCTGGCGGTTTCTCTTGTTTCGGTTGTTCCGACGGTTTGTCCGCTTCTCGGAGGGGGGCAGCAACTTCCTTGCTTCTTCCTTGTATTTAGTAACAATGGGCTGGGCTTCCTCTTTTTCCAGCTCCCCGTATGTCACCTCATCCATATAGTCACATTTCTCAGGCAGAGAGAAGTTGGCTATAAGAATAAGAGAGAAGCTTGTGGGCCTAGAAAGTGTAGACAAGGTTAAGAATGCATGAAAATCTACTTATAGGAAATATACTTTTAGTTTTTGGTGGCTTTGCAAATGCTAATCAGGTGTTCTCACACTGACCTATATTCAAGGGTTGTTTATTTCTCTTTTTGAGATTTAAGTTCTATGTGCAAGTCTTTCTCTATCCCACCATCCAGCTCCTAAATCACTACACGGAGACTTATTAATTGTGAAAGCTCGGCCAATAGCTTAGGCTTGTTTTTAGCTAGCTCTTACAACTTAACTTATTTCTATTAATATATGTGCTGCCATGAGGCTTGCTTACCTCATCTACATAATGTTCATACTGCTTTCCTGCTTCTTCCAGGTCTCCCCAAATCTAACCTTTCCATAGGATCCAAATTAACTTCTGCATAGTCTTGGGGAAGTCTATCAGATTATCTGGTGGTCATTCTTATATGGTAAACTGGATAAATTAAGGTTGGTTTTCTAATAGCTTTAGGCTCCTCCTCCTCTTCAGTTTCATAATGCAATACTGAGGTACCTTAGCCTCTTGCCTCGAGTGCTGGAATTATAGTTACAAGTCAACACTCAGTTTGCTATTATTGATCGAGACAGGAGATCTCTACATAGCCCTGGCTGTCCTGGAACTCACTATGTAGACCAGACTGGCCTTGAACTCAGAGATTCAACTGTCTGATGGGATAAAAGTCAAGCACCAACATGCCCAGTTTTGTTACTAGTATATGTCTAAATGAGTATGTATTAGTGTAAGAAGGCTAGTGGAGAATGTGAAGTGTTCTCTATCATACTTTATTCCTTTGGAGACATGGTCCTTCTCAGAATCAAGAGCTCACCATCCTTTAAAGGCTAAGCCATCTAGCTCTTGTTGGTTTCTTTTACATACAGGCCCTCGTGTATCCCAGGCTGGTCCAAATCTTCCTGCCCCTTGCCCTCTGAAAACTGGGGTTACAATTAAGAGTTGTTGCTACTGCACTTAGCTTCTCTTATTTTAATTTACCTTTTTAATCCTTTGAGATAGTTTTGTTATGAAGCTCAGGCTGGACTTTAGCTTGCTATGCAGTCTGTGCCAGCTTCAAACTCAAGATCCTGCCTAAAGGTCCCAAGTGATAGAATAATAGGTATGAGCACCACAGCAAGCCAAGCCTAACACTTTTCAAAGCTTAACTTAGTAATGCACCCTTAGATAATCAAACTAACTTCTTTTTTGAGACATAGTCTTATGTAGTTCAGGAAGGGTTGCAACTCCATATATAGTTGAGGATGACCTTGTTCCTTCTACTTCCAATCTCATAAGCGAGATTACAGGCAAACATAACCAACCATGGCTTTTTTCTTTTGAAAGGCAGGATCTGTATATATAGTCCAGGATGACCTAGAACTCATAGCAATCTTCTTGCCTTAGCTTCTGAGTGCTAGACAAAAGACTATATGCAAGACAGGTTTACAAGTTCTCAAGTGGTACATAATAAATCAGCAGTAAGTTATCAGGACAGAAAGAACAGGCTAAACGTAACTGAGAAAGTATTGGTGTTGCTTAGATAAAAACGTGGTCTTGGAGCTGGAAAGATGACTCCATAGTTAAAAGCATCTCACTGCCCTTGCAGAGGACCTGAACTCATTGACCAGCATCCACATGATCGCTCACAACTTCTCTAACTGTAGTTCAGGGACTCTGATGCCCCCTTCTGACCTCCAAGGGCACCATGCATACATCTGATATACACATTCACATGTAGGCAAAACATTCATAGAAATCAAATAGCCAGGTGGTGGTGGCTCACATCTTTAATCCCAGCACTCTGAAGGTGGCTCTCTGTTAGTTTGAGGCCAGCCTGGTCCACAGAGTGAGTTCCAGGACAGCCCAAGATACACAATCATTGTCTCAAGAAGAAAGAAGAAAGAAGAAGGAGAAGGAGAAGAAGTAGTTGGTCTAATTATATAACCTGCCAGGTCTGTAATTTGTTGTTTAGATCAGTCAGGTTTCAAATTTAGGGAGCCACTTGTCTCTGATCTCCTGGGATTAAAAATATGCACCACCATGCCTGGTGCATTTTCAGAGCTTCAAGCAGGGACTGAGAATATAGATGAGGGGTACTGCCTGGCATATACAAGGTCCTGGGTTTCAATTCCCAGCACACCTCAAACACGCATGCACACACTAAAAGCATCTATACATCTCTACTGCAAGGCCTGTCATTTAATAGCTATACAAGATAGCCTAGTACATCTGTTATTTTCTGGACATCAAGTTCATAGACTGTGTCCCAGTGACTTTTATTTCAATTATGATTCTCAGATGAATCTAGTTATCCCTATTTTATAAAACTGCATTAAATTCCTCCAAGTGCCTGAAAAGTTGGTATGGGCCGGGATAATTCATTCTGTACAAATTCAGATACTCCAGCTCATAGATGTTGAAAGTGATTCCCATAGCCAGGGGGCATGAAAGTTTCCAGTGCCAGAAGCTGAGAGGGTAAGTGGGATGGCATAAGGCATAAGTGAAAGGAAACATGACGAAAATATGATCCAAGGGACCAGCATGAAGCAAGACCAATCAACACATGTTAACACCGCCTTGAGAGGACACTATACTTAGGCAAATACCAAATCAAGAAAATAAGCAAAAAGGAAAACAAAACATAAAACTATTATCATACCAGAAATCAAAACATAGTAAAGAGAATTTTCTACAACTACTATATTTTAATTTGAACCCTAACATTCATCCTTGTCATTTTTTTTCATCCTTGCCATTTTTATGGAATATAAATATTAATTTTAAAATGTTATTTATGACCCTGAAGTTTTATTTCATATGATGATATTTTCCTATGACTAACTAGGGAAATGAGACACAAAGAGTAAACACTATAATTTATTTATTTAGATATTTGACTCAAACCCCTTCCATCACTTCTAAGCATCTTGTTTGGATTTAAACATCTTATTTCTCATTCTTTCATTTCTTGAGACAGCATCATTAGCTCAGACTAGCCTCCAACCTTCAACTTCTAAGTGCTGAGATTATAAGCATACACCACCCTGCTTTTCCTTCCTACCCAAGACATGGTCCTATTATGTAATCCAGGCTGGTTCCCTATAATTCGTGATTGTCGTTCCTGAGCTTATCAAGTGCTGGAATTAAGGCATGTGGTACCTACCATGCCCAGATATTTACATATTTTGTATTTTATCTATGAGTCAGGGGTTTCCTGTTTCTCCTTCCACTCTACCCATTAGTTTATTCACAAGTGCTTGCCTCCATTAAATTGTTCTTAAATTTATACTTTAGATGTGGAGAGTCTCTCTTGGTGCTAAGAGGTTGCAGTGTGGTTGCACTAACCAGGGACAAGATTCTCTAATCCATGTAATTTTAGCCCACCTTTCATCTCCAGCATTATAGACTCAGGCACATCATCTCCCTCCACTTCTTTCCTTAACTCCAGCCTCTTCTTCCAATCTTCCTCATTAGGGACAACTACCACCACTTTCCTGGAGAAGGTCTTGAACAGCAATAACTTCCTTCGTTGGCCAGAGTTGTACACATTACACTAGCAATAGGAGTAATAACATGTTTAAGAATAAAAGTCACCACTCAACTTACCAAAGAAAACTCTATCTTCTACAGTTGAAGCAACCTCCTTTAATAACCACTATTATAATTACTGTTGTTTTGTAGTAGTCAGGATCAAGCCTAGGGCTTTGCACATGCTAAAAAACTGTTCTACCACTGCTATAATAACCTCAGTCTCCTTTATTTTTTATTTCATTTATTTCTTTTATTTGAGACAGGGTTGAGTCTTTGTGTTGTACTGGGTATCCTGCAACTAACTCTGTAGATTGGGCTGGTTTTGAAACTCATGGACATTTGCCTGCCTCTGCATCCTGAGTGCTGGCATTAAAGGCATGTAATATCACCACTTGGCTTCTCCTTTGATTTTTGAGGCCCTACTTGATAAATATTATTGTTTCACACATCAGGAAAACTGAAGTTAGAGATGTAAAAGACTTGTCTAAAATTGTAAAAGTAGGTAGATCATGATAGATTCAGGATTTCAAATGAAATAAATGACTCCAAGTCTCCTTCTATTCCTCTATCATCGGGCTCATGCTCTCAATTAGAGTGTAAGTTCCAGTACATTACATAACTCAGAGCACATGGTCATTAGGTGACCTGAGTCTATTTCTTATTCAGTCCTACATTTGTCTCTTAGCCTGACTCTTTAAAAAGATGCAAACTTTCATCTCTTGATCTCCTTTAAAACCAGGTTTCTCTTGAATGTCTGAATACCTGATCAAGAATGAAGTTCCTCTTTGATCGCGAAGCAATCTGGACCAGCTTACTAAGGCACTGGGAGGCTTGCTGAACTAAGAGGTCTCGGCTCTTGGGGTCCATCTCTGGTTCCTCTGGTCCCTTCATCTGATGAGTATAAGAAGACAGGAGGAAAACAAGGAGTTACACAGCAAGGTCAAGAGCCCAAAAGTCACCTGCTTTAAATGCTACAAGTATAAGACCAACTCATCATATTTTAATTTCCTGTAGTAGTCATTTCCATTCTTAACCTGAATATACATATAAATATATATATATACATATATATATATACACATTAAATATATATACACATTTCCAGAAATTTGACAATCCAGCAGGTGTGGACCATATATTAACACACGACAGAAAGTTAAATTTCTATGGTGTGGGGTCCTTGTACTCAGACACTTCAAAGGCACCTTCCACCCCCAACTAAGGACAGGTCACCAAAGATTCCAAACATCTCCAGAGCAAACACCATAGCTGGCTAACTATCCCTCCCCATCTCCCAGTCTTAGCAACTGACCCTCATTTGACTGAGCACAGTTTCAGCTCCCAGGACATTGTATCTTTTCTCAGGGTTTTCTTTTGCATATTTTAGTGCCCACTGTGTCTTTCCAGATCCAGGAAGTCCCACCATTAGAATCACCTGCAAGTAAAAAAGAAAAAGGAATGTGATTTTAAAAAAAATTGATTTTTATAAAATCCAACTTTCTTTAGAAATTCTTAGCCTAGCAGTGGTGGTGCATGCAGAAAGGTAGATCTCTGAGTTTGAGGCTACTCTCATCTAAAGAGTGAGTTTCAGGACAGAGATACACAAATGAAACCCTATCTTGATAATCAAGTTCAATCAAACAAACAAAAAGAAAGTATTCTTGTAATTCTTACATTTTCCCTATCCAAGTATGATGGTATTTTCAGAATACACCTGAAAGGACATATCCTCCCCTATTCTAATACACACTGTACTTCTGGCATTTGGCTTACCTCACACTCCTCTATGGTCTTGGGAGGAACTGCAGTCCGCACACGGTCCTCAATAGGCACAGCATGGAGGAACACAAACTCTTCTGGTGGTGGGAAAAAGGGCTCCTCCTTCTGACCAAAGTTTAACTCTATGACACAATTCTTACAGAGGACATGGGGTAGAAGGGCCCGATCTGCTAGAGATTCCTTGCTGATCCGGAATGCCACGCCCAGGTCTTCTCCATTCCTGGAGAAGGAAAGCTCTACTTCTTCTGTCTCAAAATTCTGCAAGGACAAAGGCACAACAGCACTTACAGGTTGGCAGGGTTTAAGGAAAATGAAGTCTTACAGCTCCCTTTTTTCCCCTTTTTCTTTGTTTAAGTTTGGAGAACGGTGAGATGTGTAACTGGGTAAAGGCACATGACGGACAAGACTTTGGTCCCTAGAATGCAAATGGTAAAAGGACAAACTGTCTTCTGAATTTCACATATGCATTTTGATATACCTCCCCAATACATGTGGAAATAAGCAAATAAATGAATACTAGGGCTACTGCACAACTCAATAACCAAGCAATGCATCAAATGCATAAAAGCCAGTAGGAAGTATAGCTGACTGAATCCTCTCAGCCTTCTATCTACCTCTTGCTACAAATCCATAAATTTTCAGAAATACTTACAGCAAAACAGCCAATGACATCATTCTCCCCAAAAGTCTGGCCAAATTCCTCAAACTGCCCATTCTCTGCCTTAAGTCCTCTTCCATCAAAACCATAAGAGAACTCATCTTCACCTAGGATAGACAATAATAATCTATCTGAAAAGTTTCCACAGAGTCAGCAATATGTTAAACACAAGCAAGAAGTTAAAAAATAACCTCACCAAGCTGTGGGCAGGAAAAATCAACAGACCACCCAACTCTAAGGAGAGAAACTTCTGTACAGCCTTCTTTCATTGGGAGATTCTGTGTTACCTGGTCAAGTAAGAAAAGGAAGTCTCAGGCACTTTGACCAATGCAGGTACAAAGTCTGAGTTACAAAGATAAGATTTGTATACAAACTGGGGGGGGGGTGGGTAATCACAGTTCAATATCAGAAAAACAACTTTCACTAAACCTGAGCCAAAGACCAAAGTTGTAGACCTGGGGATGTAGCTCAGAAATAAAGTGCCTAATATGTACAAGGCCCTGAGTTCAATCCCCAGCACATAAAACAAACAGCAAAACAAAGTCATAAGGGTTAATTTGTTGCTCAGAGTTAGGAGTATGTTAACTAGGGTGTCTTTTCTGAACTAATAAAGTACTGGCCTGGAGTCCAATGCAGTTTAAATTAATAAATGGTTTTAAAGAGTCCCTTACCTTGGCCTCAAAGCATACTTTTCCCTTTGTTACTCCATAAGTACTTCTTGCTCCAGACCAAAGGGTAGGAAATTTTTCTGAGAAAAGTGGCTGCCCTCCATATCGGTCTTTGTTTATTTGGAAATGGAGATCCGAGGTATCTGTTAAGAAAGAAGGATGTGACTAATTTAATGAAGTGTTCAACACTTGTCAAGTGCTGAGAACACCATTATGCCCAGTTATCATGAATGGATATAAAAACTGTCCAAATACTCAGGCCATTAGGTTTTACTCTCTAAAGTCATTTTTAGATCCCTCCAGAGACTAAGGCAGGAGGATCACAAGTTGGAAGCTGGCCTCAGATATACAGCAAGGCCCTATTCTCAAAACAACAAATCATTTGCTTTATACATACACGTGTCAAGGTTCACAAGTGTCTGATCCTCCTCTTCATCTTTTGCTTCCTCTTCTGGAGGTGGTGGGGACTTTGAGCTACAGGTAAGGAGAGGAGAGCAAATACAATATAACCAAAGCTACTTTCTTTGAGGTTATCTGTGCGGCACTGCCCATTTTAAAGTATCAGTGAATTATCAAATTCCAGCAGACAGCATCTTTCATTCAATGAGGAAAGGAAATAGGAGTTTCCATCACAGACTTATTTACTCTAAAACTTATGCCTACAAAGACCTATTCCATTTTTCAATCCACCCCTCCTTCCAGACTGTCCAATCAACACCAGGAATACCAAAAGCAGAGCAGACATTCCCATCAAGGGAGTGTTTCCCTCACCGGCTGTGGTAAGCCTCCTCTCGGAATTCATAGTAAGCTCGGCCATGTTCATCCTTCTCATCCCGCTGTCTCTTTACCCCCCGCCGCTCACCATCTGAGCCTGCTGGTTTTGACTTTTCACTATCCTGGTCATCTCCTACAAAAGGGAGGGAAAGAAAATCAGCAGTTTTTATACTGGAGGGTAGAATAAGCTCAGAACTAAGAGAATCTGAGTTAACCAATATGGGAAACTGAGGATGTCTGATTGAAAGTGTTCCTATTATATCCATGTTTTATTTCCAATTATCTTTTCATTGGTTAAGATGAGGGGCACTGTGAGCTAAATACAGTTAAGAAATAGAAAAAGTTGGGCAATTTTTCCATTCTAAATTTATCTATTTCATTCAAGCCAACATGGCAGATCTCCCCACTAATAGGAAGGGAAAATATCCCTGATGTTGTTTAAAAACCTTCAGTGAATTTCAATTCTCATCATTTATGGATTTATGGCAAGTACTTAATGATTATTTTCTAATGCCTCTCAACAGCTACATGTCACAGAAACCTTACATTTTCTTTAAGAGACTACTTTTTTGCATTAAAATGCACAGCCACACACACAATGGCAGCTGTATTTTTAACAGTATTCACACAATGGCAGCTGTATTTTTAACAGTATTCGAACTGAAAGCTAACAGTGCAAATCAGTAAGTCACAAGTGAACCACAAATAACACCCCAGCTTCACTGCATGGAATTTGGGGCAGGAAGGTGGTGGTGGACATTTAGCAAAATTCATTTTTTGTTTTTTGTTTTCTAGACAGGATCTTACTATATACCTCTGGCTGTCCTAGAACTCACAATGTAGACCATGATGGCCTCAACTCAGAGATCTGCCTGCTTCTGCTTCCCAAGTTCTGGAACTGAATTTGTGGGACCCTAAGCCTGACAGCAACATTCTTTACAAGAAGTAACATATAGCGTTTCCCCCCCCCCTTAGGCTTTTGTTTTAAGGCTTAAAAGTCTTGACAATTCCTCTAAAGTACTCTTATCTGTCAATGCTTTTTATCTGCTATTTAGGATACACACAAAGGTTATGTAATAAGAATTTTGTTCCAGGACATAAGACACAACAACCCCCGAACCCTGTACTTTGTATTCAATCACTGTAAAACAGATTCCAACTACATGACACTAACAGCTTAAAAAAACAAAAGGTACAAAAAAACAAATAAAAAATTTAGGGCAATCCATTTGGAAGTAAGACTCGAACAGCTCTCCTCCCTCTAACAGTCAGTCACTATGGATTATTAGCTCTAACCAGGCAAGCATTTCAAAAGAAAGGACAAAGGTCATTAACTCTACACATTTTCTACCACAAGGTTACTCAACTGACCAACTAGAACCCCCTCAATCATTTCAGCTCAGGAAGTTGAGTCTTAAAAGCACCAGTGTAAAGTAAGTTTAAATATATGCTCTTTTACTGATTCGGAAGGAGAAGATATAAAGACAATAAGGACAAAGCAAAAAGTCACATTCAAGCAAATAACATGCTACTAAAAGTTACTAAACCCAACAACAGGTTCACACTAGACACTGTACTACTGCTCAAGTAGTAAGGCGCAAGGTTAGCTATCCAGTCTCTTTACGGTTTAAGCTCTAACCGGAGTTTGATAGAGCAACAGATCACAAACTGTTTATTGCTTAACGTTTTCACTGTAAGAAATTAACTGTCAGGTAGGTTGAAGTCCTAAGCCTCTAACTGGTACCTACAGATCGCCAATGTTTCAGTATATTTTCTGCTATAAGTATCTAGCTAAAGAGGGAGCACCAGAAGATTGATCCACAGGTAACTGGAAAGTATAGACAGACAGACAGACACACACACACACACACGCGATACCATACACTTCCATTCCATCCTGCCTAACGTGAACCACGTTAGGCAGGAACCTCCCTCCTGCAAACAGTAGAGCCACAAGGCACCCAAACCCTCAAAACGATGAGCAGTGGATGAAAACCCGCGTTTCCTGGGGAATCCCATCAAACAGGCACGGAAAACGTGCACTTTCAGGTAAGTGAAAACAAGGAATCATATCGCGCGGTGCAGGGTGGGGTACTGGATCAGACACGCACCAGGCAGGTTGGAGCCTGGCTCTGCTTCAAGTTCCTCACCTTGTTCGTCTGTGGCCTTGTCACCCGGTGCCTCGGATCCCGGCGTCTCATCCCCGCTTCGTTCCTCCGGCCCGTCTTCCTCCCCCTTGCTGGTGTCATGCTCTTCACCACCGTTTACCCCACCTGACCCGGCCGTGGCCTCCGCCGGTGTGTCGGAAGATTCGGGCTCGGCCTCCATGGCTGACGCCTCTGGGGGTTCCGGAGGTGGCTGCGCGGCCTGGCCCAAGGCCTGAACAGGAGGTGGCTCCTCGTCTTCGTCCTCAAGCAGCGCCTCCTCGTCCTCCTCCTCCTCTTCGTCCTCCTCTTCGTCGTCCCCGCCCGGGCCTCCGCCCGACGCGGCCACAGGCCGAGGCTCCGCCTTGCAGGCCCCGCCGGGCCCGGCCCCGCCAACGCCGGCCTCGTCCTCCAGCATCTCAGCATCTAGCGCCTCCTGAAGCCGCTGCGCCAGATCCATCTTGAGGCCGCGCGAATCCAGGCCCCGCCGCTGCAGCTCCGACCGCAGCTCGGTCACTTTCAGCCGCTTCACCTCCATCGCCGCCGCCGCCTCCTCCGCCTCCCGCCGCCTCCTCCCCTGCGAACTGTCGACCGAGCCCGACCGCGCAGGCGCCGCCGCCGCCCGCCTCCGCCTCCCGCGCCAGCACTGAACTCGCGCTAGTAAGGCGCACGAAGGCAGCGGCAGAAGCCGCGCTGTTCCGGCGGCGTGTTTGTATCGCCTTCCTTCTGCCCTGCCCCTTTCGGCTCACTGAGCCCAAAACAAGGCAGCGACAAGCAGCCTGATTGAAACTCGGCTCTCGACCGCGGCCGAGGACGACGGAGTTTCCTTACTTCTCCCTCCCTCCCTCAGAGATCCGGACCAATCAGCGGAGGCGTCACAACTGCGCAGCCGCAAGGAGACCTGCGCCGGCAAGGCTGGCTGCAGCTCAAGTGCCTCGTAGCACGGAAGCGTGTGTCCGCCCTTCTTTCCGTACTTCAGTTGCAGGCTCTGCGCAATCGCACCAGAGCCCCGCCCACCCTGTCAATACTCTTACTTCCTGCTCGCTCCCAGTTGCCGAGGCATACTAGGTTTATTTTGATGTCCTCTCTTCAATTATCCTTTCACTACATCTTCTAAAAGTAATAAACGAAGACAAGCCGGGGTTCTGGCTGGTGCAGAGCAATTGTTTTCGTAGCTCGTAGGCAAAGGTTTTTTTCAGCAAGAACGAGCAATGCCCGGGCCTTTTTCTGTTTAACTTCTACCCAGCAACAGAGGATCCAGCCCCGCCTTTAGCCTCTCTCATTGGCCATCTTGAATCGCAGGCTGTTGTTCTGATTGGTCATCTGATGTCGTGCGGCTTTTTTTCCTATTGGAGAAGGGGCCGGGAATTTTTTTTTTCCGGGTTGGTCCGCTGGGAAGGCGGGGTTATTTCTGCGGGATTACTTTTCTGGACTCGTTTTTGATTGGGTGGTGTGACGCAATGCGCGCGCCCCATTAGATGCTAAACTGCTGGCCAGCCGGGTCTTTTCCTCTCAGTGCTCCGGCTCTTAAACTGAATCCCGGGAGGAAACTTCCGGGCTTGGGCCACTGCGGTCGTGTGGTTGTTGTGCTTGCCAGTGCATACATCATTTTCTGTCTCGCCTTCAGGCTGGAGGCTCAGGCCTCATTCACTTCTGTCCCTTAATTAACAGCAGAGACATTGACAAATGCTTGTTGAATAAGGACAAATAAAGAGCTTGGGAAGGAGCGAAGCCTTTTTGACTTGTTTCAGTTGTTCCCGCCTACTCTCCATCTTCTTCCAGGTCAGGGGGTGTGTCTCAGAGAAAAGGAAACGAATTTTGCGGACGGTCAACATTTGGGACGTTTAGTTGGGCCTTTAAATCTTCCTAGTGACTATACACACGCCAGGATCTCTTCTTTTGGAAATAATTTGGTCTATGGCTTCACTACCTCCATCCACATTATTTCTTTTGTTGCGGAACTTCTGGAAATCGAAAACAGGATAGATAGGACTGTAGTAAAAACATCAAAGCTCAAATCGTCTTAAAGGAGAGTGTTTTTTTTTTTTTTTTTTGCTTACAACGTAGACTTTCCAGACCAATAATTTTTTTTTATCTCAACACCACGGCCTTTTTTGATCTTTCATTTAGCAATTCTAACAGTCATGGAGAAGCGCTTGCAGGAGGCTCAGCTATTCAAGGAGGAAGGGAACCAGCGCTACCGGGAAGGGAAGTACCGTGAAGCTGTGAGTCGGTACCATCGAGCTCTTCTTCAGCTGCGGGGTCTGGATCCAAGTCTGCCTTCTCCGATACCCAATCTAGGACCCGAGGGCCCAGCTCTCACGCCAGAGCAAGAAAACATACTGCACACCACCCAGACAGACTGCTACAACAACCTAGCGGGTAAGAGCGGCGGCTGGAGGGTGGGTAGAGCGAGGCAGAGGTGGCGCACGCCTTCAGTCACAGCACTCCGAAGGCAGAGGCAGGTGGAACTTGTGAGTTCGTGACCAGCCTGGTCTAAGTGAGTTACAGGACAGCCAGGGCTACACAGAGAAACCCTGTCTCAATAAATAAGGCGAAACAAACAGAAAAGACAGCACTATCGGTCCCTGTGAACACTAGAAGAAAAATACGATCTTTGCTGTCATCTGATATTCGGCAATGAACTGAAATCTGTTTCCAATCTGAAGAGAACTCTTAAGCAGGCAGGATTTTTCAAACCTCACTTGGAGTTTGTAAAAGTACTACTTCCTTGGCACTAATACCCGAAACTTTGATCTAGTGGATCTAGGGCGGAACTAGCAGTGGATTTATCTGGAGGAATGTTGCTAACTTTAGAACATTTTGTCTTTTGTAGAAAAAAAGTGCCTTGTGCCTTTGTCTAAAGGAAATTTAACATTTGGGAAACAAGTTACTGGCTCTAAATAGTGTAGATCACTTGTGCTTGACTGTATAATTTTTTTTTTTTTTTTTTAGAAATCAAGGACATTGGATAACTAGTAGGGTCCATTTCCAGATGACTTTGTATGAAGATAGAACATTTCACATTTCTGCTAGAATTAACCTAATTGATAAGAGAACTTTTATTATTCTCTGTGATAGACAAATCAAACTTTGAACTAATTAACTCAATTTACAGTATAGTAAAGACATTTTAACAGTGCAAACTGAGGCTATATATATTATCAGGAGCTTTTTATTTCGTGCTGGTTGCTTTTTAACATTTTTCTTTTCTTCAGATGCAGTATGTGGCCCAATCTGGCCTGAAAGTAACTTTGTAGACCAAGCTGGCTCCAAACTCCTGGCGGTCTTAATGCCTCTGGCTACCAAGTGCTGATATTATAAGTGCCAGCCACTGCATCTGGCTGCTTATTTTAAAATATTTTTGTGATCTCTATGAGTTTGAGGCCAGCCTGGTCTACATAGCAAGAACTAGAATAGCCAGAGCTTCATAGAAAGACCCTGTCTCAAATAAACAAACAAGCATATACTCATATATATATATATATACATATATATATCGTATATATGATATATACGATATATATACGTATATATGTTATAGAATACTCTTTAAATTTATATGTATAAACTTAAATATGTATATACCTACACACACATATTGCATGTACACATACATATGGTGTTGGAGTGGAACTGTGCAACTCAGGGAGGACCTTGTACATGCTAACCAAAAGCTGTGTCACTAACCTACAATATCAGCATTAAGAATTTTTGAAATTACAATACTCATTAGTTATGATAAAAAGTAACGGTATTTTTTCCAGTGTATCCAGCAATACTTTTAGACTGAAATAATAGTAATTATGATAGTTTTGTTTATTTTGTAACAAAGTCTGTATAGCCCTGGCCAGCTTAGATAGCCTCAAATATGCCTGCCTCTGCCTACAGAGTGCTGGAACTAAAGGCATGCATAGCCCATCCCCTCACAGCAGCTGTTTTAACTTAACTCTGATTGACAGTTATTAAGTGCTGAGGATTAGCAATATAACACTACAGATAACAACCCTATATTCATGAAACAAAGGAAATAACACAGTATACCAGACAGTAAGTACTACAAAGAAGATTAAGTGAGATGGCTTGGTGCTTTACACCTGTAATTCCAGCACTGGGTAAGTCCAAGTAGAAGAGTGGCTTCAAAAGCTGTGCCACTAACCTACAATATCAGCACTAAACATTTTGAGTCTGAGTTCCAGGCTAGCCTGGAATGTATGGTAAGACACTGCCTCAAACAAGTAAGGATAAATTGGAAAATGGAAATAGGTAGAGTCCTGGAATGTTCCATTTGAGAAAGTGTGGTTACATAGGATTCATAGATGTGACAATTATGACATGTAGTGACAGGTGCTGCTTAGGTCAATACACATTGATCTATGTTAAGTGTCACACAGTTTTCCCAGATTAGTCTAAGGAAACTAGTCTAAGGAATCTAGCAACAAGTGGATTTAAAATTATACCCAGACAGTCTTAATTCCTAGAGCATACATTCTTATTGCAAGACACTGTGCTCTATTAAAACAGAAAATGAAAATGTACTAAGGAATTGGCCAAAATCAAAGACACTGGAGTTTCGGAGATGGGTGGTTATAATAAATGTTTTTACTTCCTGGCTGGAGCAAAGAGAGGCACTGCTTCTTAGCACTGTCTAGAAGCTCTGGGAATGCTTCACAGATGCCTCATAAAGACGCTTTGAGAAACTGTGTGGTGACACCTGTGTACACTCTCAGCCATTCTTCAGGAGGGAGAATCAGGAGTTGAGGCCAGCATAGGGCTATATAGTAAGACCTTATCTCCCTAATCTCAAAAAAACAATTTTTTAACTGAATTGACAGGGCTCATTTATTAAATACCCATGATGTATTTGACAGTTTATTTACAACCTTCCTCATCTTTACAAGCTTTAATTTTGATAGATACTTCATAATCTCACTTCTACAGATAAAGAAGTCAAATAATGTCCCTACCCAAACTCTCTGTCTGCTTGGCACATTTAAGAGGAAATCCACTCTGATATTGCCTGGAGCACCTAACATGTTCTGACTCCTCCAAATACTCATCTCTCTCAGCACATTTCCACCTTAAAGACTCTGAGTTAGAATGTTCTATCCTACTGGCAAGCCAGCTGCAAGCACTCTGTGGCTTAGGTAGACCTCCAGTTGGGTGTAATGGATGGCACATGCCTTTAATCTCAGTACTTAGGAGTCAGAGGCAGGCGGATCTTTGTGAGTTCAAGGCCAGCCTGGTCTACAGAGTGAATCCAGTACCACTGGGGCTATACAGAGAAACCTTGTCTCGAAAATTAAAAATAAATAAAATTTACTTTCTTAGAGAAGCCTTCAGTAATCAAGCAACAGTTTAACTTCATTCTCAAGCAGTTTGGTTTTCTTCAAAGGCTATTTAAAGTTTTGTTTGTTTGTATATTCCTCCCACTTAGGCACACCCTGGCATTATTTAATCATTGCTTGATCTCAGTTGCCACCCCAGTGGAGATCAGTCAAGCCTTATATCCTAGAGTACTTTCCCTGAGCTGCTAAAATCCTACCTCATAGCTGGGGCCCCAAGGTAGAGTATGACAATAGGATTTAGTGCTTATATCTGTATCATTTACTAAGCTGTTAAACTCAGATCCTTCTCTAAGCTCAAAGATCTGACTTCTAAGTCTATAAAAGGAGTTTCCTCCTGACGGTGGTGGTACACACCTTTAATCCCAGCACTTGGGAGGCTGAGAGGCGGTTGGATCTCTGAGTTCCAGGCTAGCCTGGTCTACTGATCGAGTTCCAGGACAGACAGGGCTGTTACACAGAAAAGCCCTGTCTCAAACCCCTCCCCCCCCAAAAAAAATCTTCTGTTTTGTGTGTTGTTGGCTGGGTCTCGTACCTCAACCAAACACCAGCATTACTGAAAGGTATTTTTCTTGAAATCTTTCAGCACATCACCCATCAAACAGAGAGAGGGGGATTATTTAGAATAGATGACGCAGTAGTTAGGAACAATGGCTACTGCAGCAGAGGATCAGAGTTTCATTCCCAGTACCCACATAGTAATTTACAACCATCTGTAACTCAGTCCCAAGGAATACAGCACCCCCTTCTTACCTCTTGGGCACCAGGCACACAGATGATTCACACACATAAATAGAGGCAAAATACTCATACACATAAGAATATATATATTTGTATATGTATATATATATATTATGTATCTATATATATATTTTTAAATAATCACCAAAATGCCTTCCTTGTTCTTTTTACTCCTTAGTCTAATATTTGAGAATAATTAGTGCTAGGTAAATAATTATCAGTTAAAATATCGAAGCTAAAATGCTGGATTAATTGACCTGTGCAGAATACCTCATGTAAAGCCTGCTTGGTGTGCTGGTATTGTATCAGGGATGCAAGCATAGTCCAAGCTTGTTATTGTTATCCATTGTACCTGAATCTTGGCCACCTGAGCATGATTTAATTTTAACATATTTAATTCCAATAGCTGTGAAATAGGATATAGCTTTCCCTTTTTTTACTTAAAAAATATTTATTTATATTGGGGGTGGGGTTTCAAGACTTGGTTTCTCTGTAGCCCTGGCTATCCTAGAACTCACTCTGTAGACCAAGCTGGCGTCAAATTTAGAGATCTGCCTGCCTTTGCCTCCTGAGTGCTGGGACTAAAAGCGTGCACCACCACACTAGGCTATTTATTTTACTTTCAATTATGTGTCTTTGTGTATGTGTATATATGGGTCTGTACATATGTCAAGGCAGATGCCTTTAATGTTCAGAAGGAGGCATCAAATTCCCTGGGCCTGTAGTTACAGGTGGCTGTGATCCATCCAGTGTGAGTGCTTAAAACCAAACTTGGGTTCTCTGCAAGAGTAATATGTACTCTTAACTACCGAGCCATCACTCCACTTCCTTTACTTTTATTTTTGATGGTGCTGGGGATTGAATTCAAGAGTCTCAAGTGTGCCAGGCAGTCAATCAGTCTACTGAGCTCTTCTTTAAGGCAGAACACTGTCTTGAACATTGCTTCCTAACCAAGATTATTCTGGGTTCCATTAGTCAGTCAAGAGAATAATGAATTAATATGTCTTTGGAAATGAGGTTGCCATGGTGACACAACTGTAATCACAGTACTTGGAAGCCTGAGGCAGGAGAAGCAACTATAGTTTGAGGCCATCCTGGGCTACAGACTGTTTCAGAACTGCCTGAGCTACAAAGTGAGAACTTGACTGTTTTAGTGTTCTATTGCTGTGAAGAGACACCATGACCACCACAACTCTTACCAAGGAAAGCATTTTATTGGGGGCTGTCTTATAGTTTCATCGTGATAGGGTGCATGGTGACGTACAGGCAGACGGGTGCTGGGAAGTAGCTGAGAGTTCTACTTTTGGATCCGAAGGCAGAAGGAAGAGAGGGAGCCAGTGGGCCTAATTTGGGCTTTGGAATCCTCAACCCCACCCCCAGTAACACACTCCCTCCAACAAGGCCACTGTAGATGGAAGTTTCTGTTCTACCCAGTCCTATAGCCAATTAGTCCCAAATAAACACACAGAGGCTTTTGTTGATTATAAACTGTTTGGCCTGATGCTCAGGCTTCTTAATAACCAGCTCTTGCAATGTAAACTAAGCCATAATTCTTATTTATGCTTAGCCACATGGTTTGGTGCCTTTTCTCAGTAAGGCATTCTTATCTTGCTTTCTCTGGTTCTGGCTGGTGACTATGTGTCTGCTCTCCCTCTTCCCAGAATTCTCCTGGTCTGGTCACCCCACCTATACGTCCTGCCTGGCTACTGGCCACTCAGCATTTTATTAAACCCATATGAGTGACAAATCTTTACAGTGTACAAAAGCATTGTCCCACAGCAGGCCATACCTCCTAATCCTTTGAAATAGTGACACTCCCTAAGCATTGAAATAGACGACTGTGGAGGCGTCTTCAAACCACCCACTGCCTCAAAACAAAACAAACCCTGGGTGTGTTGATGCATGCCTATAATTCTACTGGGTGGGTATGTAGAAACAAGAAGATCATCACCTTTCAGTATGTAATGAATTCAGAGCCAGCTGAAGCTATATGAGATCCACCTCACCCCAATGCATGTCAGAACAGTGAGAAACAAAAAATTCAAATGACAGGACTTGGTTCAGATTTCATGTTCCTTCCGTTACAAGCTCTGAAATCCTGGGGAAGTTTTGCTTATTATCTGAGCCTGGATTCCCCCCCCCCCCCCATCCATTAATTGGAGACTAACACTAATTTTGTACTATGGCTGAAAAGATAGAATATATTCAACATAGCTTGTTCCTTCCTCACATAATGCTGCAGCATAAGAACTATGATGAGACCAAGGAGTGAGGGCAGAGCACTGGGCAGAAAAGGTACAGTGACTTTTATTTGCTCCCCAGCACCAAAGAGAGGGGAGGAAGAAGGTAGGGGAGACTGTGAGAGACAGTCTCGTATAGTAACCTAGACTGGCCTTGAATTCCCTACCTAGTCAAGTGTTAGTCACTGTTCTATTGCTGTGAAAAGACATCATGACCAAGGTAATATCATGACCAAGGTAATTCTTGTAATTTTTTTTTTTTTTTTTTTGTTCAAGAACGGGGTTTCTCTGTGTAACAGCCCTGGCTGTCCTGGAACTTGCTTTGTAGACCAGGCTAGCCTCTAACAGAGATCCACCTGTTTTCTTCCTCCTGAGTACTGAGATTAAAGGCATGTGCCACCACAGCCCATTGTGACAAGGTCATTTTTAGAAAGGAGAGCATCTAATTGGAGGCTTACTTACAGTCAGAGGCTTAGTCCATTATCATCATAGCAGGGAGCATGGTGGCCTGCATGGCATTGAAGCGCTAGCTGAGGGCTATATCCCGATCCACGGGCTGCAGGAAAAGTGAGAAGTGGGCATGAGTTTTTGAAACCTCAACGTTCACCCTCAGTGACATACTTCCTCCCACAAGGCCACACCGTCTTAATCCTTCTCAAATAGTGCCACTCTCTGGTGACTAAGCATTCACATATATGGCCTGTAAATGCCACTTGTAGTCAAACCACCACACTGGGGATGACCTTGGGTTCCTCTTCCCTCTCCTGCCTCTGCCTTCCAAATGTTGGGATTATAGAGCTGCATTACCATGCCATGCTTGAGAGTTTTGAATAAAAAATTTAAAGTATGGAAACTGAAGAGATGGCTTCCCAGTTAGAAGTGCTTACTGCTCTTGTAGAGGACTTAGGTTTGGTTCAGGACCCATATGGCAGCTCATATCAGCTGTAACTCTAGTTCCAGGGCATCTGATGCCTCTTATGACCACCTTGGGCACCTGCATGCATATGATACACACACACACACACCACACAATGAAATAAATAAACTTTGTGTATTATGTGTGCTCAAGCATGACATTGTACACATGTTGAGAATGTCAGAGGAACACTTAAGGGAGTCAGTTCTTTCCTTCCCAGGAATCAAACACAAGTCTTTACGTTTGGTGGCAAGAGCGTTTACCCACTCATACAGCTTGTCAATCAAAAGTTTTATATCTCTGGTTTCTAGATGAGGGTATGAATATGGGAGACACTTCAGCATTAATTGAATAAATGAATATTGGGGAATGCCTTGAGCTGGCCAGTGTAATCGCCTATAAGCCCTCCTTCTCTCTCCCTTTAACTTGATCCATTAGCCTGTCTCCTCCAGATGGAGCCAGTGAACTACGAACGAGTGAGGGAATACAGTCAGAAAGTCCTAGAACGACAACCTGATAATGCCAAGGCCTTGTATCGGGCTGGAGTTGCCTTCTTCCATCTGCAGGACTATGACCAGGCTCGGCACTACCTGCTAGCTGCTGTCAGTAGGCAACCTAAAGGTGAGTAAGAGGTGCATTAAGATGGTGAGCATATATAAAATTGTTCTGTTGTTAATATAAAGAAATGATCAGGCTTGAAGGATTGACAGCAATAATTGCTGTGGTGACATTACACACTATATATATCATGTATTGAATTATATGCCCTATGCCTGTTAATATTTACAGCTATTACAAATCAACAGAAAAATACTCACAAAGCTCTGGCTTCAATCCCTAGCATTGCATAAAAGCATATGTAATGGTGCACATGCTTATAATCTCAGCATGTGGGAGGTAGAAGCAGGAGGGTCAGAGTTCAAGGTTATCTTTAGTTACATAGTGTCTGAAGATGATGGGGGGGGGAGCTACATGAGATCCTATCTGAAAACAAAACTGTTTTCATGCTGGGCAGTGGTTTGAGCACACCTTTAATCTCTGAGCTCAGGTGGCAGAGGCAAGTGGATCTCTATGAGTTCAAGGCCAGCCTAATCTACAGAGCAAGTTCCAGGATAGCCAGGGCTACACAGAGAAACTGTCTTGAAGAACAAATAAAAAAAAAACCTGTCCCATTGAAGTGGTTCCCATGGAAAGGAAGTTTTAGTTGAGTTAGTGTTTTCAGTTTACTCTCCCCCCCTCCCCTTTGGTCTTTCAAGACAGGGTTTCTCTGTGTAACTTTGGAGCCTGTCCTAGAACTAGCTACTGTAGACCAGGCTGGTTTCGAACTCACAGAGATCCACCTGTCTTTGCCTCCCAAGTGCTGGGATTAAAGGCATGCGCCACCGCCACCCACCTTCAGTTTACTTTTTTGAAGACCTTTTTGTTTTTAATATACCAGTGATTTACATGTATATGGCTTACCTCTTGATGGTTTGAACCTGGGAGAGTGGGGCCTACAAATGAGGTAGACTGGTCTCATCCAACAGCCAACTTTATTCATAACATCAGACAATTTATACTCTGAGGGATAAGAAGAATCACATGAGTAAAGTACTCATTCACAGGAAGAATCAAAAACATGTTTTTCTATAGAGGCATATGAAGAAGTAACAAGAGCCGGCTATAATGAATTAACTGAAGTAAACTCATACCTGTGAGGGGCAAGAAAGCACATTCCAAAAACAATTCCATGTTTTAGAAGAAATTGAGATCACAAGACCCTTGTTTTCTTGTTGGAGTTTCCTCACAAGCACTCAGAAATCCCTGTTCTTGGACTATGTTCCGATAGAACTTGTACACCACACATCTGCCTGGTGCCTTTGGGTCTAAAGAGGCAGCCATTAGATACTCTGAAATTAGAATTACAGCCTGTAGCAAGGCCCGGTGTGGGTGCAGAACTGAAGCCATGTCCTCTGCAAGAGTAGCAAGTGTTCTTAACAGCTGAGCCATTTTTAACTTCAACCCATTTTTAACTTTTAAAAAAATAGATACTTTAAGCCGGGTAATGGTGGCGCACGCCTTTAATTTCAGTACTCAGGGGGCAGAGACAGGTGGATCTCTGTGAGTCTGGTCTACAGAGTGAAAAGAAACTCCTGGTTAAGGAGCTATTGGCATTTGATAGCTGTTAGGAGAGGGAGATTCAGTATTCTTTAATGATGTGACCCCCTGGTAGGTGGTCACCTACACTCTAGCGCAGGCCATGTTCTGAATGGTAGCTGAGCAACACAAATTAGATTAGATGGGGTTGGTTGGGAGAAGGTGAAAAAATTTAAATCTGGGTATGAAGAGAGGGGAGGGTGGAAAGAATAGGGTGAATATGAGGGGAGTTGGAGAGGAGGTAAATATGGCTAAAATGCATTGTAAAATTCTCAAAGATTTAATAAAATATTATTTTAAAAAGCAGACCTTTCATATATTTAAGAAAGTGAGCTGGGTGGTGGTGGCTACCCTCCCACCTTTAATTCTGGCAATCAGGAGGCAGAGGCAGGTGGATCTCTGTGAGCTCAAGGCTCACAAGGTGAGTTCCAGGACAGCCAGACTGTTAAGAGAAACCCTGTCTTTAGAGGGGGGAAAAAAGATATACACAAAACTATGCACATGAACGAGTTTTCCACTCCTGTGGCATTTTTTGAGGGCTTTGTTTTTGTTTACTTATGGTGTGTGTGGTGGGGTTGGGATATTTGCAGGCCACAGCCCATATAGAGTCCAGAGGACAGCCTGTAGAAGCCTCTCATCCCACCATGTGGGTTCTGGGAATAGACTCCCTCTGCTTGCCTGCCTGGCTGGATAGCAAGTATCTTTACCTACTGGAACATTTTGCTGGTCTGTAGTTTTGTTCTTTTGAGACAGGATTCTCCTTCGTAACCCAGGGTGGCCTGTGTCTGCATCCCTAGTGCCAACCTCCCTGAGGAATAAATGGATAGGAGTTTACCACCTCATCCATAATACTCCAGAAAGCAACTATTAGTTCTGTTTGTATCCTTGGGAGTATTTATGCTCAAACAGGCATAGGTATTCATACTCCCTGTACCAGCTCTGTAAGTCAGTGGCATATCTATGCCTGTTTCTGTTATATTGCTGTGCTGTAGATCAAACTCAGAGCCTGTGCCTGCCCTGAAGATGTTCTAACCCTGTGACATCCCAGCAAAATCCCAGCTGGTTTATTCTGTATATATAAAAAGTCACCCTCCCTGCTTTTTTGTTTTACTGCTAGGAAACATACTCAACATTTTATCTACTAGGTGCTGTGCTCATGTAATTGGAATTTTCATTGGACCACCAACCATCTCCCAAATAAGGACATAGAGATTTATTGTTAATTATGAATTAGCTTAGCTTAGACCTGTCCCACTGGCTCTTTTAACTTAACCTGCTTCTATTCATTGACATTTTGCCTTGGGGCTTTTGTGCTATTTTCCTGCTTCCTCATGTCTGGCTGGCGGGCCCCTGGCATCTCTTCTTCCCCAGACAGTCTGCATATACTTCCTCCCTCACTATTGACAGTTCTACATTTTATTAGACCAATCAGATGCCTTAAGCAGGCAAGGTAAAACAGCAGTATATCTTTATATAGTTAAACAAATACTCTGCAATACAAACAAATGCAACACATCTTTACATAGTTAAATAAATATTCTATGCCAAGTGTTGGTGGCGTATACCTTTAGTTCCAGCACTTGGGAGGCAGAGGCAAGTAAATCTCTGTGAATTCGAGGCCAGCCTAGTCTATAGAAGTGGTTCCAGGACAGGCTCCAAAGCAATACAGAGAAACCCTGTCTGGAAAAACAAAACAAAATAAAACAATAAATACATAAATAATCTGCAACATAAGCAAATGTAACATATCATTACAATGTTAAACAAAATGCAACACATCTTTGCATAGACATTCTGCAACATACCCATGTCCTTATTAAATTAATTAAGTTATTTATTTTGGGGTTTTATGGGCAGAATTACACTATATAGCACTGGCCAGCTTGGAGTTCTATCTATTGCCCAAGCTGCCATTGAACTTGTAATTCACCTGCCTTGCTTTCTTTAGATTTTTGGAGACAGTGTCTCGTGTAGCTCAGGTTCATCTCAAACTCAGTTTCTAGAACTGGCTGGCCTTAACTTCTGGTCCCCTCCCCTCTATTTCCCAAGTGTTGATGTTTATGGGTATGTGCCACATACCCAGCTTAGGAACCATGTAAAGAGTATGTTAGTGGATCCCAGTAAATGAACTCCATCATGGTTGTTCAGCCTGCTCTCCAAATAGGAGCTGGCCTTTGCTTTAGCTATAATTTTTTAGCTCAACTAACTCCAGGTGTGACCTAGAAAAAGAAGCCACTGACTGGGAGAATTTCAGATTTGGCACTGGGTTTTCAGGACAGAAAAGAAACTATGTAGCAGATGGCTGATTCGTTTCTGTGTTGTTTGGTTTAGCACTGAATATTGTGTCTCCCTCTTATTCTTTTATTTATTTGTTTACTTATTGTTTTTATTTTTCAAAACAGGGTTTATCTATGTAAATTTAGGTGTCCTGAAACTTGCTCTGTAGACCAAGCTGGCTTTGAACTCACTACCTCTGCCTCCCTGCCTGTCTTTTTTTTTTTTTTTTTTTTTTTTTTTTTTTTTTTTTTTCTCTTTATTTTTGACAGGGTCGCTCTACATGGTTCTGGCTGTCCTGGAACTCACTCTGTAGACCAGGTTGGCCTTGAACACAGAGATCTGCCTGCCTTTGCCTCCAAGTGCTGGGATTAAAGGCCGCTGTATCTAGCTTCCTATGTTTCATCCTTTTCTCTCATTTATTTATTTATTATTAATTTTGGCAGGGGGTGGGGGGTGTTGGGGGTTGGTGTTTTGAGACACAGGTTTTCTCTGTGTAGCTTTGGAGCCTGTGCTGGAACTAGCTCTTGTATACCTGGCTGGTTTCAAACTCACAGAGATCCACCTGCCTCAGCCTCCCAAGTGCTGGGATTAAAGGTGTGTGCCACCCCCAGCCCTTTTTTCATTCTTGAAGCAACTATTGCAGGATAGTTGCAGAGGAACTCCAAACATAATTGTGCAATAAAATTTTTCAACAGGCTGTGATGGCACACTCCTTTAATACCAGCACTCTGAGTTCGAAGCCACCAAGGTCTACAAATCCAGTTCCAGGACAGCCAGGGCTGTTACATAGAGGAAACTGTCTTAAAAAAACAAAACAACAAAAAATTTCACTAATTTAAATGAATGTAAATGCCACTATGAGCTAATGAAGGTATATGAGCCATTTGTTTTTGTTTTTTGACTTCAGATATACAGATGAAATGCTCCTAACTCTAGTCCCAACTATTATGAAAGGCTGAGGTAGGAGGGTTGCTTAGACTGCAAGTGCAAGACCAGTCTGGGCAATACAGCAGACTACATAGAAATAAAAAACAGTGGATTGGAGGTGACACACACCTTTAGTCCCGGCACTCTCACAGGTAGGCCCGGATCCCTGTTGAGTTTGAAGCCAGCTTTGTCTATAGAGAGTTCCAGGACAGCCAGGCCTACACAGAGAAACCCTGTGTGGAAAAAATCAAAACAAACAATTTTAAAAAGACTGGGGATGTATCTTGCCTGGATCCCCATCACTGAATAAAGCATGCCTATAATCCTAGCACTAGGGAGGTGGAGACAGGAGGACCATGAATTTGAGGCTAGGTACAAACAAAACCCAGCTCTAACCTATAGAGATGTTGTTTGTTTAACTCATAGTTTTAAGCTGGGTGAATCAGGTGCTCAGGTACAAATCAAATTCAAAGCCAGCCTATGATACAAGACTCTCCAAAGCAAAAAACAAAAAAACAAAATAAGCATGGCAGTAGTGGGGGTACACCTTTGATCACAGCACTCAGGAGACAGAGGCAGGCAGATCTCTGAGTTCAAGGCCAGCCTCGTCTACAGAGTGAGTTTCAGGACAGCCAAGAAGCCCTATCTGGAACCCTGCCTCCCCCAAAGTAATTCACAGTGACATATTAAGTAATAACTTCTTATTGCATGGAATAATTGTGATACATTCAGATTTTGGAGAGAACTAAAGTAACTGGGAATGTAAAGGTGCTCTCTGGCCCATTGGGACATTATGATCTGTTTGTAATTGCCTTCTGCATTTTCTTTGAAGATGCCAATGTCCGGCGGTATCTCCAGTTGACACAGTCAGAACTCAGCAGCTATCATAGGAAAGAGAAACAACTGTATCTGGGCATGTTTGGTTAAGGAAGAGAAAAGATGTTTCTTCACTTGAATTCAAGTGGACCGCTAAAGACCCATCAAGAGAAACCTGAGCCTCAGCAAGAGAAGTTCATTCACCCTTTACCTCTAACCCAGGTGGATTTCGAATTTTCCTGTTCTGCACATGCTCTTTATTAATTAGATGTCTGCATCTATTGTTGTTTATCCCCCAGTATATTTGTATGACTTGCAATCCATATTATTGCCTTGAGAAATAGACTAGAAAGCATTCATCCACTGTGGGTGGAATCAACTATATTTGTGGTATAGATTTAATGAGGTGTTATTAGATGTTTTCAGATACAGAGGGCCAGTAAAGGATAAAATAGTATAAGGACAGGCAGAAAGGACTCTTTTGCTGTTTCCTCAGATGCTTTTGTTTTTCCCAGTGGGAAATATATATTGTGAAACTAGATAATATAAATTGAGCCCAAGTATATTTACATTAAAGATCTGAAATTAATCATTTTGGGGATGAAGATGTAGCTCAGTGGTAGACTGTTTGTCTAACATGGACAACGCCTTGGGTTTGATTCCCCAGTGCTGCAAAAATTAAGTCAATTTCTTTTTGTTGTTGTTGATGTTTTTGGTTTTTTGTTTTTTTTTTTTTTAGACAGGGTGTCTCTGTGTAGCCTTGGCTGTTCTGGAACTGTAGACCAGGCTGGCCTCATACAGAGATCCACCTGCCTCTGCTTCCTGAGTGCTGGGATTAAAGGCATGTGCCACCACTGCCAAGCTCTTTTCTGTTTCCCCCCCTCCTGGTAATTTCTAGTTCTTGATATTGCTTATACTCAGATCATTAACATAGTATAACTTATTTATTTGTCTATATTCTGTTTTAAAATTTCTGAAGCAAATGGTTAGAATACATGAAACCCTGTTTGGTGTTTGTTTTTTTTTTTTTTTAATTAAAAAATGCTTCTGGAGTAAAGCATTTCGTGATGGGAGATGTCATTCTGTAAATGTGTTTCTCTTGGTTAATGCTTAAAGCACAGTTGGCAAATAGGAAGGAAAGATAGGCGGGATTAGGAGACAAGGAGGATTATAGGAGATGTAGTAGGGAAGATTCAAGATGTAGAGACTTGAGGGAAGAGGTCTGGACCCTCTCTCCAGTAAGATAAGACCATGTGGAAACACTTATATTAATAGAAATGGGTTAATATTTAAGACAGAGCTAGCCAACAGCTTTATATCTAATACAGTGTCTATGTGTGTGATTTGGGGCTGATGCGGCTGTGGGACCAGGCTGGCGGGAAAACTGCTCGTAACACACTTAGGTAGTTAAAAGTAAAATAACTCTCTGTCCTCGTGCTAAAAAGGAACCCAAGTGCTAATGAGCTTTTTTCTGGGTGTGTATGTATGTGTATTCCTGGAATTTGAACCTATCTTGCACATGCTAGGCAAGCAGCCTATCATTAAGCTACATAGTCAGTCCCAAAGTGGTTTTGTTTGGTTTTGTATTTTGGACAAAATTTCTCTGTGTAGCCCTGGCTATCCATGTTTTAATTCTTAATAGATGCATTTCTGAAGTGTGTCCATTTTTCTGAAAGACATTACAGTGTCTTCTTGAAAGAATATAATAAAGCATGATAGAAACCCAAGTCTCTTCATCTGTTACTCTATTTTGTAAGAGCTCAGGACCTCACGAAGGAAGGAAACAGTCTTGGAATTACCTTATAGGACCCAGGGGAAGCTGTGTTGCTCGTGGGTGCAGAATGCAGATCTAGTTCACTCCTACCTCTGTGGGGTTCATCAGCCAATGGCTACTTTGTCATTCTCTTTACTCTGTGGATTGTGTCTATGTCAAGGGTGCTAATTAGTGGCTAAGACCATGTAGCAGGCCTGTACCATTGTAAGTGGAGATAGTAAGCATGTGTCATTCATTAGCCATCATATAAGCACAAAACAAGTATGTTTCTTGGGGTGGGATCAGTCTCTTTATTAATAACACCCCAAACTCTCCCAATGCACTGTAGTTTAAATAATTTAGCTATCAAGGTACAACAGGTTTATTACCAAATAATCTAAAAAGTCCAAGGACAGAACTAAGTAAAGCAGAATATTTATTGTCCAAGTTTCTCAAATTACTAAACTTAGCATATACCTACAATCTCATCACTCAGGCAGAGACAGGAAGATAGCTTTGAGGCCACTCTGGGCTATATCAGACTAGATGGGGTTACCTAACAGCATCCATCATATCTTAAAAACTCAAAAATAGATTGAAAAAATTCCTATACTGGGTTTGGCCAAATTTTATCATGGTAAAAGCTATCACAATTAGTTAATCGGAGGCCCCTTATCTTTGAAGTTTGTTCTTAGTAAATTTCCATGTACAAATGTGGAAACTACTCCTCAGTTAGGCCCCCTGTGTCCCACTGAGATCCTTGGTTGCTATGGTTCCTGTTGCCACAACTCTGTCCTTGAATGGTATGTATCATGATGCCTTTAAAGGTTAATTTAAATCCTTGTCATCTTACATGTTTTACTTTTTTGTTTTTCTAGACAGGATTTCTCTGTGTGGCCCTAGTGGTCCCGGAACTCACTCTGTAGACCAGGCTGGCCTGGAACTCAGAGATCCTCCTTCCTCTGCCTCCCCAGTGCTTTAATCCTGGCCGTTTCACTTCTTTGGAGCTGGTTTTGTATCCTGGTTGTTGTGCAGAAATTTGATACTCAAATAAACTGTCCACTACCTCAGTGAGGAAAAAAATAAAACTGATATTCACAAATACGTCTTAGAAATGTATTGTGCTCATCATTTTCTTAGCCTTCCTAAGGGGTAACATTAACATGGTGGGCAGACTTCTATGGCAGCTTTTATTTTGAAGTCCAATTCCTAACAGAGACTTTGAGAAACAAAAAAGTAGACAAAGGAAGACAGGTCTCCTGAAGAGATCTGACAAGTTTACACTTTGAGTCAGCCACAGAGGATCCCTAGATACCTGTGTTCAGAAGTTTGTGGAGGGAGAGACTCCTCCTTGCTTTGCTAGGCTTTTCCAACAAGATTTGAAGATTTTGAATGAAAAGCCTTTGTGATGTATGTGAAGGATCACACATAAAGGGCAGCTTAAGACTGTATTTCCCAAATTGAGACCTGCCACCTTCATCGTTCTATTTACATATTACCCGCATTAGTGTTTAGTCAACATGTGGAGGTTAAAAGTGTAGCTTGTGGTAGAGCACTTGCCTAGCACTACTGCCTCAAAATGATTTTAATATATTTTTGTTTTTGTTAGTTTTGAGACAGGGTTTCTCTGTGTAGCTTTGGAGCCTATCCTGGAATTTGCTCTGTAGACCAGGCTGGCCTCAAACTCACAGAGATCCTCCTGCCTCTGCCTCCCGAGTGTTGGGATTAAAGGTGAGCACCACCACTGGCTGGCATGAGCTATATTCTTTACATACTGGTTCTGCCCAGGTTAGCACAATCTATTGAGCTCAAGTGGGCCTTCTGTCTAAGCCTTCCAAGTAGCTAGAACTACTGGCAAGTGCCACTCTCCTTTAAAAATGGAGGTGCATTTACTTATTCATGGGTTCTTTTTCTTTCTCCTTCTGTGCTAGGAATGGTCTAGCCTTCACACTAGGCACATACTCTCAGTCTGAATTAAACCCTGGCTTGCTGACTCTTCATTAAGTATCGGCCCAAGGCTGTGACCTGACTAGCCCAGAAGTGACTATTACTCAGACCATTTAGAGAAGCTGAGTCAGTTCCGTAAGGACATTGCTCCTCACTTTAAGGAACTGATATTCTAAGGCAACATTTTTTTTCAACCCATCCCCCCATACTTTTTTAAAGGAGAAATCAAAAACTATAAAATTCACCCTTTTGAAGGGAACTGGTTCTTACAGGCATTTTTGATAATTGCTATAGGAAAGACTGGAAAAGGTGCTACACTTACCTTGAATAGCTTTTACTATTTTTATTTATAGTTTGCTCTTTCTTGGAGGGATTAAGGCAATAATACATTTGCACAATAAAATTCGAAGATAGGCAGTTACTCTCATTTAAGCAATTTGAGCTGGACCTGGTTGTACACCCAGTACTGATAAGGCTTAGGCGGAAGATCTAGTTTTAGGCTAGTCTGTCGTACATAGCAAGACCCTGTCTAAACAAGTTGGGGTTGAAGGCAAGTGGATCAGGAAGGAGGGCAAGGTCATTCTCAGCTACTTAGCAAGTTCGTGGCCAGACTGTGCTACAAGAGACCCTGTCTCCAAAAAATGGAAGGCAGGAAAGGAGGAACAGGAATGTGGCAAGTATACAATTTATTCTTCATTATGGGCAAAATGGGTTCCTCCTTTTTCACTCAGATTAGCTTTCTTCAACTGCCAAGTAGCTAGGACTATAGGTAGATGCCATTGTACTCAGCATTAAAATTTTCTCAGCAGCAAAACAATCAACTCTTGTTTCCCATAATGCCCCATCAAAGGAACTTGCTTTGTCCAAATCTTCATTGTTAGCTCAGTCTTCTGTCTCAAAAACAGAGTCACTCAGTAGGGAGAGCTTACAGTCCTGGGTGTGACACCGAGACCCTGAAGAAGGCCTGCTTTTATCTTGACCTTTTTCAGTTTTCCTTCCTGTTTGATTTGCATTTAGGTACTTGTATGCCAAGAGAGGATATCTGTAGGACACCACAGCCTGGAAGGCTACTTCATTTACATTGAGTTCTTTCCCCACATCCCATCTCAACTCTCATTTTTTACATTCTATTACCAGTAACTACCTATATAACTTTATGTGAGTACTTTAAGCTTTTTAGGCTGCTAATATCACAATTTCACTGTATTTTTGGAGTGCAAGGGAATTATCAGTTCCCAGCCAAACTTTGGAAGTAAAGGTCTAAGATTAGAGGATTATAAAAATCCTCATGGGGTTTCTGGCTTTAGCTTTCCCAAGCAGCTGTCATTTCAATACCTCCTCAGGTTCTTAGCTCCCGTAAAAGTCCCTCTCCATAGGGCATACTGTTTCTCTTACCAGTTTCTCATCTTCAGACACCTTCATTCAAACTAACAAAATGGCAAAAATGTCAAGTTATCAATGCAGCGTCTATTGTCAAAACACCCAATCAAAGATTTTTCTAGGTCCAACGACGCAGAGGAGACAAGGTAAGGGAACAAAGCCACACACTCAGAAGAATAAGAAAACCTTTAAGGCTCCAGAGGTGGCTCAGTAGTTATGATCACCTGGTGTTCAAGAGGTCCCAGGTTCAATCCCCAGCACCCACATGGTGGTTCACAACCATCCATAACTCCAGTTCCAGAGGATCCAGTGCCCTCTTGAACATTAGCAGATAACAAGCATGCATGTGGTACACACACATACTTGTAGCCAAAAACCCATACACATAAAATAAAGTTTTTTTGTTTTGTTTTTAGAAACAGGGTTTCTCAGTGTAGCCCTGGATGTCCTACAATTCAGAAATCTGCCTCTTCTTCCCAGTGTTGGGATTAAAGGCATGAGCCACCACTTCATCACAAATAAATAAATCTTAAAAAAAAAAAAATCAACTTATACATGTTGGTTAACTACCTGCTTTGAGCCACCACTTCATCACAAATAAATAAATCTTAAAAAAAAATCAACTTATACATGTTGGTTAACTACCTGCTTTGAACATTATTATGAACCAGTATGGTTCCATCATGAATGTTATCTGGAGTCACAAGTCAAGTTCAAATCCTAGCATTCTCCTTAACCAGCTCTACGACCCTGAACAAATGAATGAGTCCTGAGTCTCAAGTTTCTTTGTATTTGGTATGGGGGTGGAGTTAATACGCCTAATAAGTTGTTTAATGAATATACAAGGTGCCCAATACAGCCCAGAACACACAAGTTCAACTACAGTTAAACCATGTGTAAGATTCCCTATTTGTATTCATTTCCTACATAAGTCTATGCTGCCCTCTCCCTGTTTTTCTTTCTGCCTCATAAGCTTCAGGCCCACATGCTTACCCAATACAGGTGTCAAATAAAAGAACTAGTGGGCAGACTTGAACACATACAGAATTGTGGAATAAACCAGCCAACACCAGTCCAAAGAGATAATTTCACTGCTAGTTTTATGTTCCAGAATGTGGAAGGAGAAGCAGTTATACCTCAGGAAAATCCCCAATGCCCTTGGAAAATCCTGGCTGACGTGCTCTGCCCTTTTAACCTCCTACTTATCAGGCTGGGCAAAGAAAAGAGTATAGACACCTTCAGCTTGGGAAGAACCTCTATTCTGCCACCCCATAGGAATAATGAGATGCCTCCAGCCTTCTCTGTGGCCATCTAACAGTAAGAGCAGGCCTGGCATCAGTTCATGCTCCCCAGATGTTAATTTTTGGGACCAAGTACAAAGTCTTTGGGTGGGCCTCCACCACCAGCGTTCTGTCTCTCTGTTGTCTGGTAGCCAGAGAGAGGCTGCACTCCTAGAATGGAGCTAGCTTCTGGGTCTGGTTTGCTTCGTTTTGCCAGGTCCTCATTGTGAGCCTTTCGGATGTGGCGGTAGAGGTCCCCTGACTGTGTGTAGCTGCGTAGGCAATAGCGGCATTCATACGGTCGCTCTCGTGTGTGCACTGTGGCATGTCGCCGGAGTGTATAAGAACACGAGAAGGTCTTTCCACA